TGTTAAGAGCCTTGGTGCTAAGAGCCTCAATATCGATCTCACTGTTGACCTGACAGTCGATCTCAGTATCGATCATCCTATCGATCTCACTATCGTTCTCACTATCGGTCTCATCGATCTAACTATCGATATCACTATCGATCTCAGCAAGTGAAACCACGGGACACCGATGGGACAGCGATGGGACACCGACGGGACACAATCGATCTCACTGTCGATCTCACTATCCATCCCACTATTGATCCCACTATCGATCTCGCTATCGATCTCACTATCGATCTCGCTTTCGATCTCACTATTCATCTCACTATCGATTCCACTATCGATCTCGCTATCGATCCCACTCGATCGATCTCACTATCGATCTCACTATCGATCTCACTATCGATACCTATACGACCACCCTTCGGGTGATAAGGAGGTGAGGGGGGGGGGAGGGACCAACGTCGCACTCGATCGATCTCACTCTCGATATCACTATCGATCTCACTATCGATCTCACATTCGGTCTCACTATCGATCTCACTATGGATCTCCCATTCGGTCTCACTATCGATTTCACTATCGATCGGTCTCACTATCGATCGATATCTCGATCTCACAATCGATCGGTCTCACTATCGATCTCACTATCGATCTCACTATCGATCTCACAATCGATCTCACATACTATCGATCTCACCATCGATCTCACATACTATCGATCTCACTATCGATATCACAATCGATCTCATCGATCTCACTATCGATCTATCGATCTCACATTCGATCTCACGACACTATCGATCTCACCATCGATCTCACATTCGGTCTCACTATCGATCTCACTATCGATCTCACTATCGATCTCACTATCGATCTCACATTCGGTCTCACTATCGATCTCATTATCGATATCACAATCGATCTCACAATCGATCTCACTATCGATCTCACAATCGATCTCACAATCAATCTCACTTTCGGTCTCACTATCGATGTCACTATCGATATCACAATCGATCTCACAATCGATCTCACATTCGGTCTCACTATCGATATCACATTCGGTCTCACTATCGATATCATCATCACCATCATCATCATCATCATCAGCACCATCATCATCATCATCATCATCATCATCATCAACAACATCATCATCATCGGGACACCGACGGGACACCGACGGGACACCACCGGGACACCACCGGGACACCGGCGGGACACCGCGCGCCACCGGCCGCCCAGTGGAGAATCATTTGGTCCGGCAGCGCCTCAGCCACAGAGGACACCACCGGGACACCGGCGGGACACCGCGCGCCACTGTCCGCCCGGTGGAGAATCATTTGGTCCAGCCGCGCCTCAGCCACAGGAGACTTTCCTCTCGCCCGCCCACGCAGCTTCGCCTCGCCCGCACGCACGGCACGCACGAACACGAAACCGAAATCGATTTCCCGGTAGGGGGGCTCTCCGTTCCACTTCGATCTCACCCCCTCACCTCCGATCACGATCGATCTCACTATAGGTCTCACTATCAATCTCTCACTATAGATCTCACTATCGATCTCACTATCGATCTCATTATCGATCTCACTATCGATCTCACTGTCGATCTCACCACGGGACACCACGGGACAACGACAGGACACCGGCGGGACACCAGCGGGACACAAGCGGGACACCGGCGGGATACCGAGCGCCACCGGTTGCCGGGCGGAGAACCTTTTGGTCCGGCCGCGGCCCAGCCACGACGGGACAGTGGCGGGACACCAGCGGGGCACCCGCGGGACACCGCGCGCCGACGGTTGCCGGGCGGAGAACATTCTGGTCCAGCCGCGGCCCAGCCACAGGAGAATTTCCTCTCCCCCGCCCACGCAGCTTCGCCTCGCCCGCACGCACGGCACGAACACGGTAGGGGGACTCTCCGTTCCACTTCGATCTCACCCCCCAACCTCCGATCATCATCATCAGCATCATCATCATCATCATCATCATCATCATCATCATCATCATCATCATCATCATCATCATCATCATCATCATCATCATCATTATCAACATCATCATCATCATCATCATCAGCAGCAGCAGCATCATCAGAAGCAGCATCACCCTCATCATCCTTCCCCCTCCTCCGCCTCCTCCTCCTCCCTTCCTCGCCTTTATATTGACTCATCCCTATCGCGCCACGAGGCTTGTCGGAAGGGCGCGCCAGGCGTTTCGCATGAGGTTTCCTTGGCTCTTGCCTAAGCACTGCGCTCAGTTGTCTCAAACAAATGCCCTCGGATTGAGGGCGGACGGCTTTCGAAACGTGGTTCTTGCCCTAGCGCCGCGCACATTCGTCTGAAAAACTTGTAGGAGCTCCACGGATTGAGGGCGGGTCGTTTTCAACATGTGATTCTCTCCTTAACGAACGTTTGCAAGAGCTCAAAGGATTGAGGGCGGGTCGTCTTCAAACTGTGTATCTTGCCTGAGTGCAGAGCAGATTCGCCCTAAAATCACGCAGGAGGTTCACGGA